CCCACCCGCCCTTGCCACTTTGGCAACTGGCATCATAAATATACCAACACCATGCTTGGCCTTGGAGGAGGATCCAGGAGTAATAGATAGCTCTGGGACCAAACTTGTGAGCAGCCCAGAGCCTGTGATTAGTGTGGCACGTGGATCCAGTCAATCAATAACTGCGATGGTATGCGGGAATGACCTTGGGAGACAGGAGGAAGAGCTGCAGCCTAGACAACGGTCTGATAAACAAAAGCTGAGTCCGAAGGACGGGTGGGGGTGGAGAAAGCATCTCAGAAGGGACCCTCCCTAGTTTTCAGGAGAGTAAAAGTAAGGGAGGGGAGAGGTGCTTTTACACTTGCAAGATTCTGTTAGTGTAGCCTTACAATAAGGGTAGCGCAAGTACCCGTGGTTGGTGCTTCTGGTTTGGACTACCTTGAAGGGCTGACTATAACTAAATCTGAATTATGTTTCATTAAGATTAAATACTGTACAGCCAATGCAAGTAATCTGCATTTATGTGGGGCATGATTTTCTCCTTCAGTCACAAACCCTTGCACAATCTGCTGTTCATTAAGAGCATCAGGAGTATCTCTTTTGGGTGACATGAACTTGTCAAGGGGGAGCTTCCTCTGTCAACATCCCTGGTTGTGTTCCTCATGTTTATTAGGGGTTACTTTCTCCTACAAGAGAATTTTAAGAATCTGCCTTTTTAACCTGGCTTTCAACAGTATTTGGTAGGTTTCAATGGTTTTAATAAGAATTTTAGGTTGACTGCCATCTGTTTTAGCATGTTTAAATGATTTCAGTGTTATTATAAATCATCCTAAGCCATTTACAAAAACTTAGGGATAAGGATAATAAGGATATTAAAAAAGTATAGTATAATTGGGGTTGCAAAATTTTGAGGAACCCAAAGCTTCTGGGAGCCATATGCTTCACTGGGGTTTCAGGTTGGCACCTCCACCTGACATGAGAATTCCATTTTTCCCTTTGGGTACAATAAACAAACAAACAAACAAATAAATATTCCTTTTAAAATTATTTATGTTGCTCAGTGGATAACTTAATTGTACAAAGCAAAGGGTTCAGACTTGAAGACTGGGGCAAACCCCGAAACTCAATTTCTCACCGGGAGTGTGTATTTTGTTCAATTTTAGTCTGTGGATCTGTGCAAGTTTCTCAGAGAGAAGGAACACAGGCCGTTGAATGAATTTGTTATTGCCAACTTGCAGCTTCTGTCTAAGGAAGGAGAACGTCCCAAGACCAGGGATTTGGACACCCTGAAAAAGAAGAGACCCTAAGTAAGAGCCGGAATAGCAAAGTGGTGAAGGACCCCAAGCTACAAGCTGAAAGGTCACACTTCAGATCTTATATTCAGCACAGACCTAACTCAACAAACTAGGATTTTCCCCTACACACATCAGCAAACTAAGGGTATCAACACTGGTCTAGTTTATTGTGATGGAATGGAATTATGAAGGTCGAGCTCAGGGAGACAAACATTTTCTTAGCTCGCCA